CAATTGACTCATGATTTCAACTACTGAAAAGTGTGAAAGTTTAACCTATCAAGGTTTTCATACTGAGGGCCCGTAAACTTAGGCAAACTAATCGATGAGGTTCACAAGACATAACACATAACAAGGTAGCACAGTGGTGTTTAAAATGGCATCTGGCTAAATGTGGATGGATATGCTTCGGCGATACATCACTCAACCTAGACCTTACCATAAATGGAGAAGTGTTATCTAGGTTACATACAGTAGTAGATTTAGGACTTAGATACTCCCAAGACTTGTCGTTTGCAGAACAGATATTGAAACAAACCTCTAAGTCTCACAACTAGTAGGTTACATTACTCGAAACCTTTATAGCAATGAGTCACGTATTTTAATGTACAAAGTTTGTGTTCGACCTCTTCTAGAATATTGCACGTTTATTCTTAGCAGTACACGCATAAAGGATAAATTAAGGCTGGAATCAGTACAGAGACGATTTACACTTCGTATTCTTGGAGCTGGTTGTACCTTAACTTATAATTCTAGATGTAATGAACATTGGGCTAAACCCTTTATGGAAGAGGAGACTCAAACTAAATCTTATCTTTTTCTTCAAACTACTTAATAAACTATTCTTTAAATTATTATTATTATTTGAACATGAGTATTGGTACAAGAGAGCGCCAATATATATGCGCCACACAAAACAATGAGAATTCGAAGAGAAATAGAAAAAAACTAAGGAGCGCAAAAGAAAAAGAGAACAATAACGAAGAGATTGGTTTAAGGTAGTGTGGTAGTAACGAGGGAACGGAAAGGTACAATCAGAAGAAATCTTTCAGGTAAGGGAGACACAACCACTTTTTATGAAGAAAGTAAAAGAAGGTTACAGCAGGATCGCCACTGGCTTCTATTCTGAGCCATATCTGATAACGTCTCTAGCCACTGTGTAGCACCATCTCTCAGACCCCAACCAGGGAGTCGTGAAGGACCAACACAAGCCAGTCCTTTGCAGCTTTCTTTCATGCCACGACACCATGTCATGCACTGACCACCTCTCCGCTTCTTCCAACCAGTCCCAGAGTCGGCAAATAATGCACGACGTGGAATTCTCTGGGACGACATTCGGAGAACATGTCCAAGCCACCGAAGTCGGTGTTTCAAGATGGTGACACCAATTGAATTATCATCTCTGTGCCCGAACACACGATGCCGAACCTCTGCATTACTGACATGGTGTTGCCACTGAATGTCAGCAATCCTTCGGAGACAGCGATGATCGAACACAGAGAGTCGTCTAACGTCCTCAACTCGGAGAGGCCAGGTTTCACAAGCATAGAGCAAAACTGCTCTCACCGACGCGTTGTAGATCCGACCTTTTACAGCCAGACTAACATCACGAAGGCGCCAAAGGTGGCCCAGATTGGCATAAGCCGCTCTGGCTTTCACTATTCGTGCATTGATCTCATCACTCACACCCCCACCAGCACTTATGCAGCTACCCAGATACACGAACTTCTCGACTACGTCTATCTGCTCACCATCCAGGGTGAGTACAGGATTAGAATCCTGCCAGTCTTGTAGAAGTACTTTGCACTTCGAAGGTGCAAAGCACATACCATACCTACGGACACTGATTGCCAACTGATTAAGTGCGGATTGCATGCCTTGGGCATTATCGCACAGTAAGACAATATCGTCCGCATACTCAAGGTCGAGAAGTCTTTCTCCAGGCAACAGATCCACACCACCATTACTTACATTCATCAGAGCTGTTTCCAGAATGTCATCGATGGCAAAGTTGAAGAGGAATGGTGAGATTGGGCAACCCTGCCTAACCCCACTGCTCGAATGGAACAATGGAGAGAGGTGGTTGTATGCCCTCACTCTGCCTGAGGTGTTTTTATATAGGGCTTTTAGGATGTTAATAAACTTCTCAGGCACACCCTTCTTCAATAGACAATCCCAGAGAACAGTCCTGTCCAACGAATCGAAGGCAGCCCTGATGTCAAGAAACACTACGATTGTTGGCCTTTGATAAGTATGGCGGTGTTCTAACATTTGGCGGAGGGTGAAGATATGATCAATACATCCTCGACCAGAACGAAACCCAGCCTGCTCCTCGCGAGTCAATCTTTCTCGGGTTTTGAACAACCTACGAAGTATGACGGAAGCCAATAGCTTGGACGCAATCGGAAGTAGACTTATCCCCCGATAGTTGTTACAGGAACGACGTGAACCCTTTTTAAAGATAGGGACAACTATCGACTCATTCCATGACGTTGGTACACTCTCTAGTTCCCAAACCTTTGTAAACAACGTCGTCAATTCCTTAGTCAAAAAGTCACCACCATCTTTAAAAAGAGCCGGAGGTAAGTCATCTGGGCCAGGTGATTTGTAACGCTTCAAGAGTTGGAGTTCCTTGCGGACTTCCTCCTCGTTTGGTGGATCAGTCGTCACCGGCCATGGAGGGCAGGACAGTCTGACCGATGTTGCCGGAGCAGCAGGCCAGTTGAACTGCCCTTCGAAAAATTCTGCCCATCGTCCAAGACGTCGATGGATGTTAGTGATTGGCATCCCATCATCCTCGCAGATTGTTTCACTCACACCAGACTTCTTGCTGCCAGTGGCTCGGATGAGCTTCCGGTAGTTACCAGATGCAGCTGCTGCTTCCAGCTCATTAGCACGCTTCGACCACCAGGCTTCTCGGTCCTTACGCAAGCTTTGCCCAATTTCCTTACGTAACATCCTTCGTTTATGGTCAAACTCACGGTCACCCGGAGTAGACCGACGGGCTTCAATGAGTTGTAAGGAACCAGAAGAAACCCAGTGCTTATAAGCGGGACGTTTCGCAAACCCACAACTGACTGTTCCCGCCATTTTCATGGCGTCATGCAATTGCAACCAATGCTCATCTATACTTTTCGGTGGAGTGGTAGCTAGCCTAGAGGCTAGCTCGGTTCGATACTTACTTGCAACAGAAGTTGCAACCAGCTTGCTAACATCAATCCGTTGGTGGCGGTCACTTCGTTGGCCACTGAAAAGTAAGGTAAGATTGGCGCAGACCAAGGCATGGTCAGAGTCCAGATAGGTACTCCAAAAGGAGCGGCAGTCTTGTACACAACCACGCCAGCGGTAGCTGATCGCGATGTGATCAATCTGAGTCCAGGCTTGAGATGCAGAGGGAGGACGCCAGGTGGCACATCGGCGATGACTGTGCCGAAAGTTAGTGCTAGCCAGAAACAGGTTGTGGTCTGTGCACAGTTGCAGTAGACGGTCCCCGTTATCTGACCTGCGACCAACGAGTCCCCATCGGCCACCTAAACGACTCTCTTCTGTGCCTAGACGCCCGACCTGAGCATTCAAGTCTCCGGCTAGTACTACAATATCTGTCGAACGCACTTTCTGGAGAAGAACAGATAACTGGTGGTAAAACTCATCCTTGATTGCATCCGGGCTGCAATCTGTCGGGGCATAGGCGGAGATGACGAAAAGACATCGTTTCTCACGCCGATTTCTTCTCACTTTGATGGAACTTTCTAATCTAACAGCACATAATCACGTGATCCAATATGCAGAAACTTCTTATTATGACATCCGTAACTCCTTGGCACTAGTGAAACAAACTTAGTATAAATAATCTCTTTATATGAATCACTTTGCCTGTTAATTTTCTAGACTCGAATAACCTACCACGATCTACCCGTACGATAAGATCACTCCCATTATGTGTTCGCTGCATACTGCTCCCCTGAAAATGCATTGAGTTTTCTAGCACCTGTAATTGTATCTCATTCCACAAGTGATATTATAGGAACTTTAAATGTTTAGCCACTTTTATTAGGGCATTCCCTAAGTAAAACAACATACTTGCTGTCACTTTATGTTAACACCGTCCCCAGCAATTTTAACTAATTTGAATAACATAAACAGTATATCACTGTGTCACATGACACGTATTTTGGTAGACCTGATTGACATATTTTGGTAATTACTGCTTTGTTGTTCCGTGCTCTCTGCTTTCGTTTTAATTTCTCTAATTGCAGATAATTATCATTAATTCGATCTGGCACACGAAATGACCTTAATTACACCGTTCATAAATCAAAATGCTGTCCACTTAAGAAATATTAAAAATTCCCGGCTGATGCATTGGATCGCTGTAATACATGTACTACCTAAACAATTACTGAACTAGTATACTTAAAACTTTCTTCTATCACATGTTTGTTCTGTACATCTAATGTTAATATTTATATCAAATTGATCATGCCTATAAACTGACGTGAATTCTGTAATTATTATTTTCAGAATATATAAATTATTATTATTATACGATAAAAAATGACAAAACTGACAGAAGAATATCAATGGAACAGGGAATAATACCGAATTGACTAGTCGTCATTAAGTAATTAGCGTACTTAAACCACAGTCTTAAACTAAGCTGATCCATAATAATGTTTTAGTAATTATTTGCTCTACTCCACATTTAACTGTTCCAACAGTCAACGTAAACTGTATGCTTATTTATTTGTCGCTGCGTAAGTTTGTAGTACTCTATTTTACATATTGGATTACAGTGACTCATTTCTTTAACCTATTTTTTTCAAAAGATAGTTTCGGAAATAGATATATTTATTCACTTTAGCTACATATTAAAAGTAATAAACTTTGTTTACACGACGGTGTAATGGTATGTGTCATTTTTTTTGTTGAACAAGTAAATTATGTTTGAATGTATAAACTCATAGATAGTATGGACACTATGAATAGATAGCAAACTTAAACTTTTAAACGGTCAATTCCATCAAGCAAACAGTCAGATGTATGAAAAATTAGTTTTCTTGTTCAAACAAGCCGTTTACTTACGGCGGTTGCAATGTTCGTAATAGTGCATAAGAGGACAAGTCTCTTGTTTACAAAATATTTGTTTAACATACGTAAGGTACATAAAGTTAGTCCAGCTTCTACCTCTTTTAAATAGTGATTCAGCTGATTGTCAGGCCACTCATTTGCTGCTAACAAACGAATTTCTAGTGAACAGTAAAAATATGATCAATTAAAGTAATTCTAATCATATAGTATGAAAAATGGATTACCAGAAAACCATAAATTAATACTATTATTTATTTGATTTTACCTTGGAAAATATTATAATGACTACATCACTCATTATTAAATCGGCATATCTAATGGCTTGAGTTATATTATTACTGTGGTTATAACTGAGTGTTCATAAATTATAGTGAAGTCTTCAAGTTAATCCTGTGAAAATTATATATATATATATATATATATATATATATATATATATGTTTGGTAATGAAGGTTTACACTCCAAAAGAAATAGGAGAGGAAACGAAAGTATTAGTCGACATCAGAAACGAAGTTGCCCTAAATGTCAATCATAAAATAACCAATAATAGTTGACAAGATACTTAATTGCAAGATTTCATAAAAAGCGAAAAATAATTGGTGAGTAATAAATATATTTTTTGTGATACCCTGGTCGTCAACAGATCATGAAGTAATCGAACAATTGTTCATTTATGGGTCCAGACCAAAAAAGCCAGTAAATTGATGTTAAACTATAGAATAAATGATGAAGAGGAGACTTTCTGATTCCTTAAAAAGAACATTCTTCCCAGCAACATTGAGAATATTATTCTCCAGTCGATCATTGTTCACCAGTAATCTGAAAGATAAATTATCGCATCTGACCAATTCAATGTACATTTACCAATTTACCTGCTCTTATGTAGCTAGGTATATAGGTATTTCGATGCGTACTTTATCCAAAATAATTCAAGAACATCGTCCGGCGTGGCTAAAAAGAGGAGGCAACAGCTCAATAAGAAGTTCTGTAATCGAACACCTTGTGAACACAGGTCATTCAATCAAGCCAGACTGCGTTCAAAGTCATCTACAAGGTACGTAGAAGTCTTCCTAAGATAATTAGACTGCATCTTCTCTGCATTGCCGAAACAATAGCCATACATCTGGAAAAACCAGAATTGTGTGTGCAAAAGAGACTGGTACAACCTCTCCTTCTACCATGGTCTTAATGTATTAAATTTTTTTTCTCTTTTTCATACTTTTGTTCCTTAACAGCCATCATCCCTTTAAATCTTCTACGCCCAACTGGTTTGTCTTTACTTCCACGATCATTCCCATTACATTTCATCTACGTTTCAACATTTTATTTTATCATGCTGAGCCATCCTTTCCCAATGATAATTTCCCTATCTATCTTTTGATAAATACTTAAGCCAATAACAATCAAACGATTATTAAACTTTCCTTGTTTTAAATTTTTTTAATACCTTTGTTCAACCTCATCATCACCAAATATAACAAGTTTATTATCAGTATTATTATCACCCTGTAAAAATAAGTATATATATTTGCGATTGTACAGCTTTGAAAATGAATTCGCTGAACTAATCGTTCTTACTACATGATGAAGTAACTAAAATTTACTCTTGTTGATATGATGGTTATTTATTTTTAAAGTAGTTAGCTGAGATGTTATGACTATAGCTAACTGATCAGAAAAAACTGTCGATCAATGATGATTATGAAGCTTACCAACAAAGTATCATTTTGGTTTCGAATATGTTACTAAAATTTTACATTCTTCTTTGCATAGCAATTGTTCACGATCAAGTTAACGAAGAAAGCAATATTCTTCTTTGAAGGAAAAGTAACAGTATTATGTTTTTACTGATGGTATAATTTTTGGGGATTCAATGAATGTCAGAAATTGTTAGGTTCCGAGAAACATATTGAATGGTAAACTTTGGGATCCTTTTATGGACCAATACTAAACGTATACTTTTATCGTATAATTGTTAAATAACTAAACTATTCATATTATAAACTTTATTTTGACCTATGAACCATTATTATACGTTCTACCATTCTTGAATTATGCCCTGTCTATTAGTCACTACCTCCCACATTCACAGCTACATTTGACCAAATTTTGTACAAATGTTATTTCCTATGTTATGCTACGTTGTGGTCGGTTTGATTGGTATATAAACTCAGTATGTTTGAAATATAAGGATTCATATTGCAGAGGCTGAGACTAGTGTTCTGGACTTAACTGGCTGGGCTAGGCGGAAAGCAGGACTCTAGGCTGCTCGCACGTGTGTTACGCGTCCTTGGTCCGATCGATAATTCGCTGCTTCTGATTGGCAGCTATGGGCTATAACAAAAATGTATTCGATCTATCTTGAAAACTGGATCAAACTCTAAGATTTCATTTCTCAATGGTTTCTTCGTAAAGAGATTTATCCGCATAATCTAACTCCAGTCGATCAGATCATGAACTTCTAGTCTTCTCCCTTTAGACAAAGGTTGAATCTAGTTCCTTTCTTTTCCACGGAGATTTTGAAAAGTATTAACAGAGGACTGTATAGACGAGTAATTGTGGTTTGCGAAATTGACTTATACACATACTTTTTCCCCAAGCGAATTGAAAATGTCTTAAATGTTATCAGACTGACTCAGAAAACGTACCAATGTTAGATACAAGCATAACATTTCAAAATAGGTCCTTGAAAACTCTTTAGAAGACCGATCAATGAAGCAAACATTCTAAGCGTCTTAAACGAAGTATTTGTTTGAACGAGAGAAAAGCAGCTTACAGAAAAACTCGATTTGTATACAGTAGCTTCCAACCTCGAAAATGGCCACATATAATGTCCATATGTAAAGACTAACTGACATTTTTTAGAACACGTTCCAGTTTCATTCGGTAGAACAGAAGGGATAAACGTAAAACCATTCATTTTGTAACATGTAGCTGATCGTGACTTACCTTCAGATACATAGTTTGATGTCATCTTTAAACTTACATTTAATGCATTGAAAGGTGTCCATTTGCATCTCCATTGAATGGCATAAGCATTAAAATGCCCTATCTCAAGTCATAGTGTTGTGAACGAGGACACAGGCGTAAGTAAAACCTCGGTGCCTATAATTTAAATAAAGAATGGACTATAAATATCTCTAAACTCTGATAACCGAGTTGGCTAATAAAGGCTGCTGTGGATATTCAGAGTAATAACTTTAATCAATTCGAAGCCGTGTTTCCTAATTCTAACCAATATTAGAATTCATGTTTAGCTTCCGTGTGCTGACGTCAGTCTGGATCGAGTGTGTAGGCTATTTTCCGCGCACAAGATGCCACCTACCATATGACAATATCATCCGCACGTTGTGAGACAATCAAATATACTTACCTACTTGCGCCAGTTACCCCTCATGGAGGAGCATAGGCCGCTGCTGGTCAACAGCATTACCCATCCAACTCTGTCCTGAGCAATCCTTTCCAGTTGTTATTCATCCTTTTCATGTCTGCTTCCAATTCTCAGTGCACTATGCTCTTTGTTCTTCTACCTTTCCGTTACCCTGCACGATTCCAAGTTAGCACTTGCCTCATGATACAGCTTGGTGATTTCTGTAATGTATGTTCCATCAAATTCCAGCATCTTTTCCTAATTTCCTCTTTAACTGGAAGCTTGTTTGCTCTCTCCTACAATAAACTGTTGCTCATGGGATCCAGACAACGAACATTCAGTATCTTGACTAGACAAATATTTATAATTACTTGTATCTTTTGATGCTGGTCGTAGTAGTTCTGCAAGTTTCAGGTCCGTACAGTAGAACTGTCTTGACGTTCGTATTGAAGATTCTGACTTTGATACCGGTCGAGTTTTTTTGAGTTCTATGAACTCTTCAACTGTAGGAATGCATCCGTTGCTTTGTCAATCATTGCCCTTACGTCTGCATAAGACCCTCCTTATCCATCGATGATGCTTCCCAGGTACGTGAAAGTTTACACCTCTTCCAGAGATTCTCCTTCAAGTGTGACTTCGCTGATACTCGCTAAGCTTTATATATATATATATATATATATATATATATATATATATATATATATATATATATATATATATATATATATATATATATATATATATATATATATATACGGATTATTGAAGTCGTGACTACGTTTGAAAGTTAGAAAAAATTGAACACATTCTCATGTCTTAGTAAACAAACAAAACTAAATTACTTCCAATACCTATAAAAGATATTTTATTTTGATTACATAAAAGAACTGCCAGTTGAATATCTGTTATTGATACAAATGATGTGTAGTTCCTTTTTGTTATGCCGTAATTGCAATTTCGACCATAAAGACATGAAGTTGCACAATACATTTAAGTGAAGACAAAGCCAGATTCCAGGTAGACATTGTATATTTTTTCAATCGCACTGATATATGCAGCTGTACGAACATCTAATCCAAGGTTGTAGACATTCGCAATATTCATGATGCGCTGTAATATTATAAAAATAAATTAAAATTACTAACAAACGAGTAAAGTATATTAACAACAAGAAATAATATCTATAAAACATTCTTTAGAATTAGTTGATTATGAGACCGGAGAAACAGCGACTGTAAGGGTACCTAAGGAATTGGATTAATTTCATAAAATGAAATAACGATTTTATTTTATTTTCGCCCAAATGACTAATTTCCATTAGACCAATGTGTTGTGACTTTATGAGCCGCTTGTTATCACGTAATCTATTCGCCAATCAAAATACGACTTATTCGCTCTTATACTGTACTAAGCCTAGCGTCCTATTGGTCCGTTGCTCGCCTAACCCGTCCACCTGAGTCTAGAATGCCAGTAACAGCCTCCACTATGCGAATCATTTATTTCAAACATACTGGGTTTATATACCAAACAAACAAACCGCAATGCATCATGAAATAGGAAATAACATTCATATACAATAAAGCCAAAAAGTGGCTGTGAATGTGAGAGGCAGTAGTCAATAAACTGAACATAGCTTAAGAACAGTAAGTCGTACAATAATAATACATAGGTCGAAATAAAGCTTATAACAAGGGGGATATAGATATACATAATCTAGTTACTGGATATTTACACCATAAGAATATATTAGTAATATTAGTCCATTAATAGGTTTCAGACGTTCAGTCAGTCAGTCAGTAACAACGTAGAACTTCGTACGTACGTACATCAGTTCGAGTTGCCACACCACATTAGCACAGAGATGCAGTTGTCGATTCAAATCCCGTTACTCGTGATGTAACCTTAACTAGGATATAACACAATGGACTCTATATAAAGAGCGAGAGAGATTGATAATTACCTCTTGAAGTGATAACAGAGTGGTAGTGAACTTTACATCTGATGTAATGACTAAAATATACCTGATAAATGTTATTCAGACTACATACATACGTGTCGTACTAGGAAAACGGAATTAAGTTGACGGATTAAGCGCAGGCTTAACAGGATCTGAAACAATTAGTCCCTTTCATAAAGCTTAACAGACCAGTGAAAAGCATTGTTGATCTGAAAAATAAGGTGCATTCACTCTGTACATTTCGAACAATCTGGAAATAAGTACACTTATCGATGCATTTTGAAATGGAAAACAATGAAATTTAATTGATCTCCAGTCGACCTGAATGGCAAGTTAACGAAGATCTTCCGACTCTTCACGAAATTGAAAAAGCTAAGGAACATCTGAAGCGAGGGAGAGCAGCAGGCCCTGACAGGTTTATTCCTGAGGTTTTTAAGGATGGTGGTTCAGTATTAACAGTGAGATTAACTGAGGTCTTAGGTAGAATCTGGGAACTGGACGTAATCCCATCTGACTGGTCTCAATCACTGATTGTGCCAGTCTATAAGAAAGGATAAAAATCCTCTTGTGACAATCACAGAGGAAAAAGCTTGACTAATATAGTGTCTGAAATATTAGCTTCAATAATACTTCGACGCATAACGAAAGCTCGTGAAGTGCAGACTAGAGAAAACCAGACTGGTTTTCAATCTGGACGTGGTTGTATAGACCAGATATTCACACTACGTCAGGTCCTAGAGCACAGACACACACTCAGACGCCCCACAATAGTAGTATTTCTCGACCTTAAGGCAGTATTCGAGGTTCAATAGCAGTGTTTATAACTGAAAGGAGTACCAAAGAAGTACATTAACCTTATAAAGACTCTCTACTCGAACACAACTGGTATAGTGAGAGCTTATGGAGAACTGTCATTAGAATTGATTACCTCAAGTGGTGTTCGTCAGGACTGCCCACTCTCCCCATTCTTGTTTAACTTTGTCGTTGACTTACTTTTAGAGATAACACTTTCCTCGTCTAGATTTCCAAGGGTTGAACTTTTACCGGGAGGTTCACTTGTTGACTTAGAATATGCCGATGACATAGTTCTATTTGGTGAAGACGCTGATAAAATGCAGAGTCTTCTGACCACTCTAAGCAACAATGCAAGCATGTTCGTGATGCGATTTTCTCCCTCGAAATGCAAAATGTTGCTTCAGGATTGGGTTGCATCGAAACTCGAACTAATGATAGGGAGTGAAGTAGTTGAGCGTGTCGACCGCTTCACTTATCTTGGGAGTCTCATTAGCCCTTATGGTCTGGTGTGTGACGAAATCTCAGCACGAATACAGAAGGCTCGACTAGCTTTTGCCAACTTGCGTCATTTATGGCGTAGGCGAGATATCCGTCTATCAAACAAAGGACGTGTTTACTGTGCAGCAGTTCGTTCCGTCCTACTTTATGGCAGTGAAACATGGCCGGTAAGAGTAGAGGATATTCGTAAGTTACTAGTATTTAATCATAGGTGACTTCGAAATATTGCTCTTATATCCTGGGACTATCGAGTAAGTAACGCAGTTGTTAAGAAACGGGTGCTAGGCAAGGATGGCAAATCCATTGATGAAGTAGTGAAACTTCATCAGTTGAGATGGCTGGGACACGTGTTTCGTATGCCCAACGACTGACTGCCTCGACGTGCGATGTTCAATGGTATAGGAGTAGGTTGGAAGAAAGCTAGGGGCGGCCAGAACAAAACATGGCACAAGTCCATGAAGTCACTGACAAGTGGACTGAGTCATGTTGGTAGGCGTAGACTACCTGGTTGGGGAACGCGAGATGATAGCAACCGATGGTTAGAGACCCTGAATGACATGGCTCAAAATCGTTTGCAATGGCGCAGGTGCATCCGCTCTTTGTGTTCTCCCAAATTCTAATCTTCTGAATTCTTCATGTCCCTTTTTCCTCTTTCCAAATTTATTTCACTGTATTATACTCTTGAAGTAACATCTCCAAACCCTAATCTTTCCGATTACTGCTTATACTCTGGCCACCTCTACCACTACGGGATTTGACTCGACAACTGCATCTCTGTGCTAATGTGGTGTGGCAACTCGAACTGATGTACGTACGTACGAAGTTCTACGTTGTTATTGACTGACTGAATGGAAAGTTAACATTTTATCCAACTGAATTTCATTAGTTTTTATGACTGCTTTGACAATTATATGTGACCATATTGTTCGTAACGTATAATGCAAATACATCACATTTTTGACATTAACTACACCTTCTTACTGCTCTGGTAGAATTACAATGTACATCATGTTAGATCAAACAATGGTCAATTAAATATTTCAATTTTAGTATTTTGCTTTCGTTTTTGAAACAATAAATCTAATTAACTAGGAGTGGTTGGTTGATAAAACGCAATTGTGTTTTGGTATATGTTCATATCAGCGTTTATACAACTACGATAGCATATTGGTTTAGTTGAATCTCGGATAGACAAAGGAGGAATGTTTGAGATCTAGTGTGTGTTGCAACTCCAAAACCAAACATACTAGAGTCATAACCGATAACCAATGAAATAAATGTTCAAGACCCACACGTCAGACGATATCAAGATGACATCTAAATGTGATTCAACAGTGCTTAATCAAGCATATTCCAACGTGAAATATCAGTCTATTTAGCGTAAAATGTAATAAAAGTCATATTTTCAAATACATTTTTTGTTTCCAAAGTCTATTTATCTTGACTCTGTACAATGAAAATAACCGAAATAGCCTAATCAGAGAAATGAGTGAGTGACTTCTTTTAACGATATAAATTGCTGTTGTAGTTATGCTAGTGACTTTTGATCCCTAACGAGGGCTGAAACTGTTAAATCCGACGAAGAATAAATGAGTGGTAACTGTTAGGAATTATTTATGGACCATTATCACATATATTCTTATTGGATAACTATTATGTAAATAGTGTTTGTTGTAAATTCATGTTCCTTTTATCATAAGCTTTCATCTCACCTATTGACTACTATTAAACGATTTAGTATTCTCAAATTATTACCAATCGATTAGTTAATCTCTTACACTCATAGCCACTTTTGGTTTAATCTTGTATAACTGTTATTTTCTATTTTATGGTGTGGTCTGGTTTGCCTGTATATAAACTACGTATGTCTGAAATATATTATCCATACAGTGGAGGCTGAGATTGTGTTCTAGACTCAAAGGGCAGGGCTATGCGATAAATTACTATTTTGAGGACCACTAAGGATTCAGAGTTGACACAAGGCTACTAGTGCTGGTTGACATTTCACTAGTTTAGCACAGGAACGAGGTCATATAATTCGGGATTCTGATTAACGGTTTTGTCACGTGATAATTGACAGGGGCAGAAGCCATAACAGAAAAAACTAAGGTTTAAGTACTCTTGATCATCTGTTTTAACTACACCTTTCGGAATTTAAAGAATAAGGAGGATAGACGTAGAACTATTAATTAACCAGATATCAATCAGTAATACATTGGATGGTACTTATATTATGATGACATCTAAAACATGAAATAATTGTTCTAAATGTAATTATCACACTATAAAACTAAGTTGGTGTAAATTTACTTTGGCAGATCGCTCCATAGTATACTCCAGACCAGAGTGAACAATATCGCGTTCAGATGCCCCCTGAAATGTTAATGTAGAAGTAAATTAAGTAAACTAGGTATTATTATTGAATTTAAAAGATTAGATTAAGTACAAATAATGATAATCGTAAGATGCAAATCGACCATTGCATTCTGTAAGTGGATTATCGTATTAAAAGTAAGTGTCTTGAAAAACAAAGTACGAGAATTGAAACTAGTATCATATTAACATCAATACGATCAAATATAGGGAATATCAAAAAGCTTTAGAAATTACAGATCTATATATTCATTTAAAGGGCTCAGCAGTTTTCGAGGCTATAAGTAACAAAATATGTATTCAATTTTGTAAATTCCAGTGATTTACTAAAAACTTGATTAGTACATTTGTATCTAAAGAGAATTTTGTTAGATTTCTAGACTCATCAAAACCATTCAACAGAACAACTATGTGATTCGAATATAGTTTAGATTATGGAATGAAAACCATTGAAGGATCACTGAAATCCAGCAAGCATTGATCAGTTTATTCTATGATTTAGGAGCACGAAATTCCGACATGGATTTCGAAAACTTGCTTGGCTTTTGCCAGATTGAGTTACTTGTGACGCGGGCTTATTGAATGGTGAATATACAGCATACCAGTTAAATCAGGCATTATTATATGGGTCTGAGAGTAAAAAAAACATATGTAGGCTGTGGATATTTGACCATAGTTGCTTTCAAAGAATTCTTCATTAATTGTGGAACGACCAAGTGAACAATCGTAAGACTAGGCATAGGATACTAAGTGTAGATGGGGTTGTGAATCTTGAACGACTGTGGCATGTTTTATGTATGTTTTATCACAGCTTACCTCGAAGTGCGATATTGTCAGGCAGAAAAATAGGGATAGACACACTAAAGACATGTCATCAGTTTGTGAAATCACTGACTATTAAACTAAGCTGAGTTGACAGACCCACATGTTCTGGTCGAGGTCCGCTAAATAACCAAAACCAATGGTTGGCGACTTTGGGTCAAAGTGGGACAGATGCATCCGCCCTGTATTCTCGCTTAAATGTAAGCTTTAACATTATTTTAAGCTTTTTATTCGTCAAATTCAACCCTTCTCGAAATAAGTCTTTCAACGTCTAATCTTTCTACATTATAATTAATACGACTATTATTTCGAATGTTTCACTATTAATCATGTTAATTTTATCTCACTATGACGTGTTATGGTAACTTCGGCTAATATTTTTTCTAGGTTCTACGTTGATCTACTTGTCAGTCATACACACCGGTAACCTGAAATGTGATCGAAGCCTATCAAAGTTATTTTATCCTAAAGCTAAAAGGCAACTCCTTGACCCAAAATATAGTTTAGTTTCCAAAGAAAACCTGGAACAGATGAAAGCAAACTTATCATTACATATAAGACGGACAAAAACGGTTTCATTAAAACATTATTTCAGATTTACTCCATATACTGTAAAAGTTTTCTGTACTAACCAACCGTCTAAACTCCCAATCCTTTTAGATGATATACAGAGATGGACATAACCCGAAAATTGACAGAGTATTACTACAAAGATCTATCAGTTGAAATCATTTGAGTTGAGAAGAGTAACTTTAGCACTAGGTATCCAATATTAGGCTACACAAATACAATACAAATTAAGACATGTCACCTTACAAGTAAGAAGCCTCATCGTTACAAGGTTTATATAAGTACATTATTAAACCGTAGTTTGTAGATCATTCAAAAAATGTATAACAAGGAATTGTCATTTGCAATGGATAAATGTTATGAAACTGCAGTTAAACAGCCTCAAACATGCACATTAAACTTTATTAATAAATTACTCAAGGTGTGCACATATTAAAGAGACAAGAATCGATCACTGAATAAGTATGGGCCATTGTAGCACGCCGAACACTAAACAACAGTGCTCAACAAACCAAATTTAATGTAATTCAAGTGTGGCGCAACTACATATAAATTATTTATGTAAGCTGGATCTAATACAAATACTTTAACAGGCTATGATTTATGTGGATACAATTTTCAGGAAAAATTTGCATACAATAGATGGTCTAATAACAAGATAGCAAACTTTCCAAATAATTTTACTTTTGATAACATGACAAAAACAGGAGATCAAAAATACCAAATTACCGCAATGCGAAGCTGAAAATCTTCGGATGGTGTTATCGGTATTTTGTCAGCGAACTTCTTCTCTAGAGACTGTTGTACACTATCTGTAATTAAAAAAACGAGGTAAATAAATTTATCTCTGGATAAAAATGTGAAGTGAATGAGTTAAATGTTAATTTCTCTTTACTGACCACATTGGAATGGAAAGTGGTGAGCGAAAAATTCGACTAACATTCAAAATATGACAACAGCTACCAGCTACAGCTTGAGGCACCTAGAATTCCAGCCCCATATGTGAAACTAGCATACATACACTTCCAGGTTGCAAAAACAAGATTCAATTTTAATTAGCTATCCCAAATATTTAAATCTTAAGCTTTTCACAATTCGGAACCTATTTTTTTCCACGTCAGTCTACCCTCTCCTATTTCTTGATTCAATATTTCTCTTATCTTTCCTGATTTTCTGTGTTACCGTAAAACGCAGTAACTTAAACTAGTGCTTTCATGTATGACTACTGTTTTTAGATAATTCTCGATGAACTGGCAGGCACTAAATGGACATCAGAGACAGAAATGAAAGAGTTAAACTGTTGTTACTAAGTGGGGTTCTTAGTTTTACCTTAGAAACGTGAAAAACCAATTATTAAAATCAGTATGTAAAATTACATTTCATTCATAAATTAGATAAAACCTTAGTTGGTTTGAGTAATCAAAACTCCTCATCGTATTCTGCTTCCTGTTTGTCAGTCTGCTTAATCTGACCTGAGTTCACAGGGTATTTTGCTCGTCTGCCATTGATTGCTGCTGAATAATGGACAGTTAAGCTGTTTCACAATTGATTGATCACTGGGTGGTGATCAACCTCATGCTTGTCTAGTCCTTATTAGTGCAGATCGAATGCTATCGATCATGTTGCAATGTGGCCACCAGTCTAGGTGACTCGACACTGCGGGCACTATGTATTGAGATTAGATGGTGGTTGGAGGTAGTCAACAGGAAACCCTGGACCCGGGTTTCGTGCTACTTGGCACTCGTCAGCAAGGTGTACCTGTAATCTCGAGGGAACTGATGCTCCCTGGCGGATTCGATCTCGTGTCACCCAGCTTCACAGTCAGAGACGTTACCACTGAGCTATCCGAGCCGTGACTAACCTCCTGTAGGACTGAGATGTAATCACAATTGATTGATCACTGGGTGGTGATCAATCTCATGCTTGTCTAGTCCTTATTAGTGCAGATCGAATGCTATCGATCATGTTGCAATGTGGCCACCAGTCTAGGTGACTCGACACTGCGGGCACTATGTATTGAGATTAGATGGTGGTTGGAGGTTGGAGATCGAATCCGCCAGGGAGCACCAGTTCCCTCAAGATTACAGATACACCTTGCTGACGAGTGCCAAGTAGCACGAAACCCGGGTCCAGGGTTTCCTGATGACTACCTCCAACCACCAGTTAAGCTGTTTCTCAAGACGTTGAGCCCTGGAAGTAGATTATCGACCCACAACTCCCAGCAGTTATTGCTAACCGATTGATTGATAAGGTTAGAGATCAATACCAAGAGGCTAGACAAACACGACACCAGTCATTACTCAGTGGTTAATTAATTGAAGATATGTTATATTTCATATGGAATATGGACTTATAAAGACTTTATTTACTCTTTATTTCCCCCAATAGGAGGTAAACAGATGTGACCAAATGAGTTCCGATTAAAGATTTGATTCATAGTGAACAAATGCATTTCTAGACTCGCTTCAAATGAGGCATTTTCGAGGTCTGCAAGACATCTACCTAAATTCCCCTACACTGAGAAACCGTATACATACTCTTCAATCGACATGATGATATCATGGCTTACTAGAAATAAGATTCTCTATACCCCAAATAAAAACTGGTCGGGCAATTTTATAGACTGCCAAAAATGTTATATCTAAACATAATTCACGAGTAAGTCTGTAGTAGATGAGCTTTGAGTATGATATTAAGAGCTGGTATGACCAAAAATAAATGAGTATGAGAACACATTATTGCTGACTAGTGGATTCCATCAATAATTAAAACATACTGTCTACATTTGTACAGTGAATTTGTAATTTCACGTGCTATGGTTAATAGTAAGTTGCGCTGCTAACTAAAAACTGGGCACACTAAAGCAACTTGTCGGCTTTATTTTCGTGTCATTAACTCACGAAAAAGTCGATTATCAAAAACACCTTCACGATTGAAGTAAAATACATACTGGACGGCAACCCAATGAGTATTAGGTACGAGAAGTATTAATTCAAGGTAGATTATGACGTAAAAAGACCATATTACTCCTTTTAATAGTTAATTAACGTAAAATATACTTTAAAAATAGTACTTATGTTTTCGATTTATGAAGATGAAATAACTTACTTAGTAACTGATAGTTGGAATCTCGTTCGTACTTAAAGGTTAGTCGACCATAGCTCACGTGATTTAAATTTTTAAGCCATTCAAAATACGAGACAGTAACACCGCCAGCATTCAGATACAAATCTGGAATAACCAACTTATTCTTCTCCCGCAGTATCTGGAATGGAATTAAATACGAAATATCTACAGTTGAACTGAACTTAAATCTATGATTTGGCATACCGCCAACCAAGAAATTCAAATATAGCAAACGAAGTGCGTAAGAGACTTAGTGAATACAGTGGACTAGCTAACAAAACTGTGATTTGTGGGATGGCGAAAATGTAATTTATGAACTTTATAAAAAATGCCATGAAATATGAGCGCCATATTTAGTGAATTAGTTGCCAAATGATTAATTCCGTATCTAGACAGAAGTTTGTTTATGAAACAACAAATAAGCTCGCGAAAAAACTAACTTTATCAGCTTTTGGTGTGGTGGGACCATTTGCACCCTCCCCAATTAATTTTGCTCTGATCTTATCAGCGTTGCCACTATGGATTTGCTTTTCATTTGCCGCAGGAATAAGGATATCACATTCTTCGAAAAGAAGGGAACCTTTTGTATATGGTTTTGCATGTGGAAAGCCAACAATCGTACCATTTGCCTATCGTTAAGTAATAGAACAGAAAATTTGATAAAACAAATATAGCACGCCCAAAAATAGTGAAAACTAATACTGTAATTAACAGAAACCAGACTTCTTCGAAGAGCAAGTCACTTACATAATTTTTTAGACGGGGTATCATGCCTTATTATTATTTATTTATTTGAACACATAAATGTTGGTACAAGAGGGAACCAAATATATATGCGCCATATATATATAATGCCTTAAGGGCAGCTAGATTTTTAATGCTGAGCTTGATCAAAGTATGAACCGGAGATGGAATTTTATATCGTTCTTCGTAGTGAAGAAGCCAGTTTGCCGCTTTCACGAAACACAAATTCTCCTTATTACACTGGAGCAACCTCCGCCACTGGTATCGAGATAGAAAGATGTCTAGAAAGTTTTAAGTAACACGTAAAATATGTATCACTCAGAAAACTGATTTATAACAAAAGCAAATAAAATGAAATGACAGAAGCTTAAACGATACCGACAGATCTTCAGTACAGACAACAGGCAAGACAGTAACTAGTGCTGAATCAATGTGATAAACAAATTAGACAGATATGTATACTGATTACTAAATAAAAAAGTGCAATTTACAAACCCATGAAAATATCCTACCTATCGATCCAAAAGAGCTGGCGCTTTAGACTTTATTTTGAGGAGAAAAAGCGTGAGTCGTATGCAGATGACTCTGGTGTTTATATTTGTGAACTACTTATGACTACATGTAATATGCTAACAGTACAACGAACGCATATATCGACGTTACGTGAATTCCAGTAGTATTAAAAATAGGATCCCTAAAATAATAGCTACTAAAGGTATTTACTACTTATACAGAAACTATTTAAATGATGGGAAAAGTTTGTTGTGGAATATTACGACACGTTATATGAAGTAATGCAAATTATGAATGGGATTCCCATAGATGTAAACTCAGATTACAATTGTATTTCGTTCTGTTGAGTGGTGGTTTATTAATAAGGACGTTCAACTTTCCACCACTAAGTCCCACATTTGGAAACCCACCTACCTGCTTCGGTTTGAGCAACCGGGAATTATCACTATTCAAAACATCTTAAGTATTGCTCTTACCCAAGTGTCTGGTCAACGAATCGGTTGACTATATCGCTAGAGTTCAGTAAGTTCTTACCGACATGAGCGGATTAGTCACGTGTCGAAACTTCATACATAGCAAAGGTTATCTCATGAAGTGGAAATTTGAAATATGAACTATGTCATAATCTATCGACGCAATCACCTATTTTCGAATTGGCACCTAGGTAATAGTACATTACATCTATCTTATTTATTTGTTCATTTAAACACATAAACACTAATACAAAGAGGGACCAAAAATATACATGTGGCACACAATAAATATCAGATTGTGAAGAGATAGAGAAACGATGAGTATAATAAAAAAGAACAACAGTGAATAGAAATTAATGCATGAGGGTGAAATAATAATAATAATAATAATAATAATAATAATAATAATAATAATGGAGCAGTTCAGTTAGGCAAAATACAACCACACAGAGGATTCAATAAGGGAGTTCCTCTTACTTATATGAAGAAAGTAAGAGCTACAGAATGATCGCTACTGGATTCTACTCTGAACACCGTGTCGTATCGTCTCAAGGACTTTGAACAGAATCGTGAAGAAACAACGGATGCCAGTCCTGTACAGCTTTCTTTCGTACCCCAGTACTACGTCAAAAACCAACAACATCTTCGCATTTTCCAATCAGTCCTTGCGTCAGCAAATAATACACGATGTGGAATTTGCTGAGACAAAATTCGTAGCACATGTACAATTCACCGAAGTCAGTGATTCGAAATGGTCACATCAAATGAGTTATCATCGCTGTGCCCAAATACATGTTGATGAACCTCTGCGCTACTAACATGGCGTGTCACTGGATGTCAGCAAACTTCCAAAGACAACGACGATCAAACACAGAGTCGTTTAACATCCTCAACTCCAAGATCAGGTTTCATAACCATACCATATAATTGCTCTCATCGACGCATTACAGATCCAACCCTTTACAGTCACACTAACATCATAAATGGCCCAAATTGGCATAAACTGCTCTGGCCTTCCCTATACGTGAACTGATTTCATCATTCATGCCACTACCAGCATTTATGCAGCTACCCAGATACATGAACTTCTCGACTACTTCTATCTGTTCACTACCAAGAGTGAACTCAATTTCAGGATTCTCCCAGTCCTGTACAAGTACTATGCACTTAGAAGATGGAAAGTACACGCCATACACACGGACACTGATTATGTGCGGATTGCATGACTTGGGTATCATCGTACAGCAAGACAATATCATCCGCATACTCAAGATAGAAAAGTCTTTCTCCAGATAACAACCACATCACAATTATCTACACCCATCAGGGGTGCATCTTAAACGTCATCCATGGGAAATTGGAAAGGAATGATGAGATTCGGTAACCCTGTCTAACCCTACTGCTTGAATACACAATGGAGAGGTGGTTGTATGCTTCCATTCTCTTTGAAGTGCTTGCATATAGGACCTTAAAGATGTTAATACTTTTCTCAGGTACACCCTTTTTCAACAGACAATCTTAGAGAACAGTTTAGTTCAATGGATCGAAGGCGGCCCCGATGTCGAAGAACACAATGATTGTTGACCTGAAATAAGTTTGGCGGCGTTCTGACATTTAACAGGGGGTGAAGATATGATAAATACATCTTCGAACAGATTGAAATCTAGCCTGCTTCTTGCGCAAACAAGGGTATGATCAGTCTTGTACACAACCACGCCAACTGAACGCGATGTGATCAATCTGAGTCCAGCCTTGAAATGCAGAGTTGGGACACCACGTAGTACATCGGCGATTACTGTACCGGCAGTTAGTCCTAATCAGAAACAGTCTGTAGTCTGTGCAAAGTTCCAGTAGACGCTCATCGTTATCTGACCTGCAACCGACGAGTTCCCATTGGCTACTTAAACGGATCCCCTCGGTCTCTAGACGCTCGATCTGCACATTCGGATCTCCGGCTAGTACCACAATATCTGATTTATTTATTTGAACACGTGAATATTGGTACAAGAGAGCGCCAATATATATGCGCCACACAAAACAATGAGAATTCGAAGAGAAATAGAAAAAAACTAAGGAGCGCAAAAGAAAAAGAGAACAACAACGAAGAGATTGGTTTAAGGTAGTGTGCTAGTAACGAGGGAACGGAAAGGTACAATCAGAAGAAATCTTTCAGGTAAGGGAGACACAACCACTTTTTATGAAGAAAGTAAAAGGTTACAGCAGGATCGCCACTGGCTTCTATTCTGAGCCATATCTGATAACGTCTCTAGCCACTGTGTAGCACCATCTCTCAGACCCCAACCAGGGAGTCGTGAAGGACCGACAGAAGCCAGTCCTTTGCAGCTTTCTTTCATACCACGACACCATATCATGCACTGACCACCTCTCCGCTTCTTCCAACCAGTCCCGGAGTCGGCAAATAATGCACGACGTGGAATTCTCTGGGACGACATTCGTAGAACATGTCCAGGCCACCGAAGTCGGTGTTTCAGGATGGTGACACCAATTGAATTATCATCTCTGTGCCCGAACACACGATGCCGAACCTCTGCATTACTGACATGGTGTTGCCACTGAATATCAGCAATCCTTCGGAGACAGCGATGATCGAACACAGAGAGTCGTCTAACTTCCTCAACTCGGAGAGACCAGGTTTCACAAGCATAGAGCAAAACTGCCCTCACCGACGCGTTGTAGATCCGACCTTTTACAGCCAGACTAACATCACGAAGGCGCCTTTAGGATGTTAATAAACTTCTCAGGCACACCCTTCTTCAATAGACAATCCCAGAGAACAGTCCTGTCCAACGAATCGAAGGCAGCCCTGATGTCAAGAAACACTACGATTGTTGGCCTTTGATAAGTATGGCGGTGTCCTAACATTTGGCGGAGGGTGAAGATACGATCAATACATCCTCGACCAGAACGAAACCCAGCCTGCTCCTCGCGAGTCAATCTTTCTCGGGTTTTGAACAACCTACGAAGTATGACGGAAGCCAATAGCTTGGACGCAATCGGAAGTAGACTTATCCCCCGATAGTTGTTACAGGAACAACGTGAACCCTTTTTAAAGATAGGGACAACTATCGACTCATTCCATGACGTTGGTACACTCTCTAGTTCCCAAACCTTTGTAAACAACGTCGTCAATTCCTTAGTCAGAAAGTCACCACCATCTTTAAAAAGAGCCGGAGGTAAGTCATCTGGGCCAGGTGATTTGTAACGCTTCAAGAGTTGGAGTTCCTTGCGGACTTCCTCCTCGTTTGGTGGATCAGTCGTCACCGGCCATGGAGGGCAGGACAGTCTGACCGATGTTGCCGGAGCAGCAGGCCAGTTGAACTGCCCTTCGAAAAATTCTGCCCATCGTCCAAGACGTCGATGGATGTTAGTGATTGGCATCCCATCATCCTCACAGATTGTTTCACTCACACCAGACTTCTTGCTGCCAGTGGCTCGGATGAGCTTCCGGTAGTTACCAGGTGCAGCTGCTGCTTCCAGCTCATTAGCACTCTTCGACCACCAGGCTTATCGGTCCTTACGCAAGCTTTGCCCAATTTCCTTACGTAACATCCTTCGTTTATGGTCAAACTCATGGTCACCCGGAGTAGACCGACGGGCTTCAATGAGTTGTAAGGAACCTGCAGAAACCCAGTGCTTATAAGCGGGACGTTTCGCAAACCCACAACTGACTGTACTCGCCATTTTTATGGCGTCATGCAATTGCAACCAATGCTCATCTATACTTTTCGGTGGAGTGGTAGCTAGCCTAGAGGCTAGCTCGGTTCGATACTTACTTGCAACAGAAGTTGCAACCAGCTTGCTAATATCAATCCGTTGATGGCGGTCACTTCGTTGTCCACTGAAAAGTAAGGCAAGATTGGCGCAGACAAGGCATGGTCAGAGTCCAGATAGGTACTCCACAATATCTGCTGGACGCACTTTCTGGAGACCACTTAAATGGTGGTAGGACTCATCCTTGATAGAATCCAGGCAATCTGTTGGGGCATAGGCGGAGATCAAGAAAGGTCATCGTTTCCCACACCGATTTCTTTTCAATTTGATGAGGCATTCTTACTTAGTAGTAAATAATCGACCGTTGACTGGGAACTCATAGATTAGTCCTGCTTATATTCTGGCGCTTAGTGCAACGCCAACGCTACAAAAACCGGACGAAGACGTCACAGGGTTCCTGGATAACCACACATGAAACAAGCTTTGAAGCAACAGATGGAGAGCCAATTTACAGTTCTTCACTAGAGTCTTGAATACAGATATCGGATAGACAACAGACATCGATGCTGAAACCTTCCGAAGACATAACCAACCCTATCTGTTGTCCGATCTGGATTAGTGTGTGCTTGTTGAAGGAGGCTAGTTAGGGTGGCATAGGTAGATTCAGAAAGGCTGGTTCAGAACTCGTGTTCGGTGCTGCGCTCAACCCTTGACCAGTCAGTTACTTGAGATCGTTTAAATAGGACAGGATTTCTACGATAGGTGAGCTGCTGCATGAGTTGAAGGATAAAGGAATACACAAAGTGTGATTGAAGGGATAGACAAGTGGTTCAATGTAAAAATGACTAGTTACAAATAGTTTCGAGTATGATTTGCGAGGATGGGAGTAAAAGCATAAATAGTTTATCTAGTTGCAGTCGTTACTTAGTTCGTGTGGATTGGGATACTACCTGGGTGCCCATACCGAAGTAGGTGGTTTTCTTAAAAACAGTCCCATAGCAATTTCAGTGAGTAGAACTTCCCTGGTACTGGTTATACATGCATAACCATATGAGAGCGTTTCGAAAGGAAGAGTAAACTATCCACACCCTTAGCCATACCAGGGCATTTGGAGGCGTTACATAGCTATAACGAGTGATGAGCCACATGCTCGTTTAGCATATTCGAGTAGTTCACAAACAACAGTTTTACTATCTGTATTTCATACACTATGTTGCCAGTAAAGGAAACTGCATAGATGAATCATCATGATAATGAACATGAATAAACCCTAGAATTAAAAATTTAAATATTCGACCAATGGACGCCACAAGTAACAATGAACTGCAGACCCTTAGATGAGAAACTCATGTTCAAAATTATGAAACCCCTGGTCAAATAAAATCGCTTCAGAGAAAACTTTTAAAGGTAAACTTCAGGAATTAGTAGACAAAACGTCTGTTACAACAGGATACCAAAAAATAAGACAATAAAACTTACGATTTGCCAATCTTCGAGTTCTCGTGGATCTATACCATCTGCGTTGTAAATCTGTCCGTCGATTTCAGCAATACCAATACATTTTGCACCAGCTCGTACAAGATAACGCATTGTATGCAAACCAACATTCCCGAATCCCTGAACAATGAAAGTTTTATCCTTCAGCCCCGGGGATAAACCGATAGCATCTGCATATTTTGGGTTATTTAAGAAGTTGTCTATCCCATGATAAACCCCCTGAAAAGTTAATGTTATCAACAACAAAAATGCAGTATTTAACAATAAAACGTTGGACATGGAAGTTCATAATCAACCCAAATATATGGTCACTGATATTGAATATAAAACAAAAATGAGCTTGCAAACTACTGCTACAACAAAAACGTTTACGAGTTTTTCGGTTGCGAAGTTAATATTTATGTAAACTTAGTACGGTTAACAGGTGGAAGTGATTATCAGACGATAACTTACGCGTCCTGTTGCAGAAATGCGACCGTGAATACCACCCATAGCGATAGACTTTCCTGTTACACAAGCATGACTGTGCATATCGTTGTGACCTACAAAAAAGCAATGAAGTTTCAAAAAGTTAGAAGTAATATGTTTGAAACCTGGGAAGAACATAAAAGATGTGTCTAAACAAACTAATATGAACTTACCAATAATGCGCAAAACACTAGTTAACGATTAGTTTGAACGTACCTACGGTGTTTGCATACGTATCCGCAATCCAGCTCATCTCTCGGGGTCCAGTCCCCATATCCGGAGCAGGAACATCAGTTCCAGGACCTGAAGACCTACATTAATTTATACGAACTAACCAAGAAATCCTTGTTTTGCCAACTCTAGTGCAAACCGACGGGTTATCCTTTCTAATTCTGCCGGAGAGTGGTCTTTGGGATTTATCTTAATTCCCCCCTTGGCACCACCAAACGGAACATCTACGACAGCACATTTGTAGGTCATCAGAGCAGCAAGAGCCATAACTTCTTCTCTGCATACATCCATACTATACCGGATGCCACCCTTAGTGGGTCGCCTGTGCACACTATGTTGAGCTCTAAAGCCCTGAATGATCTTGAACGTTCCGTCATCGGCTTTATGGGGAAAGTTAACCTCGAAAATGTGAGTAGGTGGCCGAATTATGTTAAGCGTTCCTTTAACAATCTTTGTTTTTTCATTATCTGGCGCTTTTGATTGAAGTTTTGACATCAAATTTTGTTCAACAAGGGCTGAAGCCTTGTCATAATAACCTTCAACCATGAGATGAAACGGTATATCATCTTGTTCGGTGCTGTATGGACATTTTCGAACATTCACAAAATGAAAAATTGATTTTCGACACAGAACTTCAGGCTTATGTATCAAATTACTAAACAAACCCGCTAACATTTTGAAGTGGAAACAACCTGGAAGAGAAAACAAATGTCAAAACAACAGTGAAATAAAACTCAAGCGATCGGATTTATGTATAATTTAACAGTGAGATTATAATTCATAGATTCTAGCGCAAAATGAACTCAACAAAACTGTTAGATAGAATTTCGGTATTCTGTCTGATGTGAATTCGTGGTGAAAACCCTAGCCTAATTTTTTAACCTCACCGTCCAGATGTAAATCTTATCCTTAACTCCTCACACTAATTCACAAACTTCAGATGAAGTTTGTTATATAAACCCTAAACGTAGGTGGACATCCACACGGTCACATAAACTCGCATGAAGTTGGTCCATATAACATAGTACCGTCAACTATGAAGATACAAGCTAAAAACACAAGCAATAACGTAGCTAACCAAGTTTACAGTGAATCCAGTTTCCCACGGAGCTATTCAGTAGAACTAAGTCAAACTAACAAACTTGGATAGTTCAAAACCTTGAGATCAACCAATCAAATACTAGCCAATCAGCAAGTAGGTCACGAGAATTAACTGTATCATGCAAAACAACAAAATTCGGTTTCCAAATATCCGGATTTCATGTTTACATTTCTAAATAAGACGCTTTTCCGACAAGAAGTTGCAAAGCAACGGATGCATTCCTACAGTTGAAGAGTTCATAGAACTCAAAAAAACTCGACCGGTATCAAAGTCAGAATCTTCAATACGAACGTCAAGACAGTTCTACTGTACGGACCTGAAACTTGCAGAACTACTACGACCAGCATCAAAAGATACAAGTAATTATAAATATTTGTCTAGTCAAGATACTGAATGTTCGTTGTCTGGATCCCATGAGCAACAGTTTATTGTAGGAGAGAGCAAACAAGCTTCCAGTTAAAGAGGAAATTAGGAAAAGATGCTGGAATTTGATGGAACATACATTACAGAAATCACCAAGCTGTATCATGAGGCAAGTGCTAACTTGGAATCGTGCAGGGTAACGGAAAGGTAGAAGAACAAAGAGCATAGTGCACTGAGAATTGGAAGCAGACATGAAAAGGATGAATAACAACTGGAAAGGATTGCTCAGGACAGAGTTGGATGGGTAATGCTGTTGACCAGCAGCGGCCTATGCTCCTCCATGAGGGGTAACTGGCGCAAGTAGGTAAGTATATTTGATTGTCTCACAACGTGCGGATGATATTGTCATATGGTAGGTGGCATCTTGTGCGCGGAAAATAGCCTACACACTCGATCCAGACTGACGTCAGCACACGGAAGCTAAACATGAATTCTAATATTGGTTAGAATTAGGAAACACGGCTTCGAATTGATTAAAGTTATTACTCTGAATATCCACAGCAGCCTTTATTAGCCAACTCGGTTATCAGAGTTTAGAGATATTTATAGTCCATTCTTTATTTAAATTATAGGCACCGAGGTTTTACTTACGCCTGTGTCCTCGTTCACAACACTATGACTTGAGATAGGGCATTTTAATGCTTATGCCATTCAATGGAGATGCAAATGGACACCTTTCAATGCATTAAATGTAAGTTTAAAGATGACATCAAACTATGTATCTGAAGGTAAGTCACGATCAGCTACATGTTACAAAATGAATGGTTTTACGTTTATCCCTTCTGTTCTACCGAATGAAACTGGAACGTGTTCTAAAAAATGTCAGTTAGTCTTTACATATGGACATTATATGTGGCCATTTTCGAGGTTGGAAGCTACTGTATACAAATCGAGTTTTTCTGTAAGCTGCTTTTCTCTCGTTCAAACAAATACTTCGTTTAAGACGCTTAGAATGTTTGCTTCATTGATCGGTCTTCTAAAGAGTTTTCAAGGACCTATTTTGAAATGTTATGCTTGTATCTAACATTGGTACGTTTTCTGAGTCAGTCTGATAACATTTAAGACATTTTCAATTCGCTTGGGGAAAAAGTATGTGTATAAGTCAATTTCGCAAACCACAATTACTCGTCTATACAGTCCTCTGTTAATACTTTTCAAAATCTCCGTGGAAAAGAAAGGAACTAGATTCAACCTTTGTCTAAAGGGAGAAGACTAGAAGTTCATGATCTGATCGACTGGAGTTAGATTATGCGGATAAATCTCTTTACGAAGAAACCATTGAGAAATGAAATCTTAGAGTTTGATCCAGTTTTCAAGATAGATCGAATACATTTTTGTTATAGCCCATAGCTGCCAATCAGAAGCAGCGAATTATCGATCGGACCAAGGACGCGTAACACACGTGCGAGCAGCCTAGAGTCCTGCTTTCCGCCTAGCCCAGCCAGTTAAGTCCAGAACACTAGTCTCAGCCTCTGCAATATGAATCCTTATATTTCAAACATACTGAGTTTATATACCAATCAAACCGACCACAACGTAGCATAACATAGGAAATAACATTTGTACAAAATTTGGTCAAATGTAGCTGTGAATGTGGGAGGTAGTGACTAATAGACAGGGCATAATTCAAGAATGGTAGAACGTATAATAATGGTTCATAGGTCAAAATAAAGTTTATAATATGAATAGTTTAGTTATTTAACAATTATACGATAAAAGTATACGTTTAGTATTGGTCCATAAAAGGATCCCAAAGTTTACCATTCAATATGTTTCTCGGAACCTAACAATTTCTGACATTCATTGAATCCCCAAAAATTATACCATCAGTAAAAACATAATACTGTTACTTTTCCTTCAAAGAAGAATATTGCTTTCTTCGTTAACTTGATCGTGAACAATTGCTATGCAAAGAAGAATGTAAAATTTTAGTAACATATTCGAAACCAAAATGATACTTTGTTGGTAAGCTTCATAATCATCATTGATCGACAGTTTTTTCTGATCAGTTAGCTATAGTCATAACATCTCAGCTAACTACTTTAAAAATAAATAACCATCATATCAACAAGAGTAAATTTTAGTTACTTCATCATTTATTCGATATTTAGAAGCTGCACTGACTTTGTGTAGCCTATGCTTCTCAACGAATCATAACTGTCGATGAATGGTTTTATTCGAATGGACTATTCGTAGAATACACTCACTCCTCACGTGTCACTGTGTTTTACCCAGTAAATACGGTCTCTTCGCTACTTGCTGTTAATGTTGACTACATACCCCTTCAGTGTTATTTTGGAAAACACATTTTTTCATTTAAATGTGCTATTTTCTACAAGGAGGCTATGTAGTGCTATGTCAAGCCCACATAGCCTATTCTAGCTTCCGGACAGGCCAATCTATTCATCCTTCTCGAGTCACGTTTAGACCTTGTTAATTATTAGCTTATCAACCTTGATTGTTTATGTAAGTATATGTGTGCACTTCTTATCATGTTCATTAGATGCCTGTAACTCATTTTGTTCGGCTCTAAATATTGATTCATGCTTGGTTAAATTGGGTTGGCTTACGTGCTTCTCCACTGCGAGCCATTTCCTTTCGCTGCTCTCTCTTCTCGTATTTGACTTATTTAATTCCATTATTCACTAACGAGAGTTAAGTCGATAATTTTACACTAGGATTTGGCGGAATGTATATTTCAATAACAATAAATCATACGGTCTAACTGGAGTCAGATCTCGGGCCAATAAAAAGGTAAGCAGTCTTTTCTGACTCCGGTCCTCATTTGGAATGCGTCTGTCAGCTGTCCTCCATGCACCACTTTGTAGTGTAGTCCGTTGTATGAACTCCGGATTATGTTGACGATCTTCTCAGGTGCACTACAGTGTCGAAGAAGGTTTCATAAGGTTCTCCTATCCACACTGTCAACCGCTTTCTCATAATCAAGGAAGTTGATGTATGGTGACGAGTTTCATTCAATCTGATTATCCAACGATAATCCGTGGTGTCGCGGTTTGGTCTGTACATGACCGATCCTTACAGAATCCGGTCTGTTGATCTCGAAGCTGGGCGTCTACTGAGTCTTTCATCCGGTTGAGCAACACTGTTGAAATCTTTCCTTGGTACCGATAGCAGTGTGATTCCTCTGTAGTTCTCACATTTACTCGGATCTCTTCTTTTTGGTATCTTGATGAAGTGTCTTTCTCTCCAGTCCGTCGGCACATGTTCTTCCCCCCAAATCTTCCTGAATAGAGTGTAGAGCATGCTGGCAGTTGCTTCTTTGTCTGACTTTAGTGCTTCAGTTGGTATGTTGTCAGGTCCTACTTCTTTCCCACTCTTCATTTGTCTGATGTCCATTCTGATTTCTTTGATCGTTGGTGAGCTCTTGTCTGTGGGAATATCTATGTATGCTGCTTTGATTCATGGTAAATTCACTGGGACTGGTCTATTCAAGAGTTCCTCAAAGTGTTCTACCCATCTGTTTATGGTCTCGGTGGTTAGTTTGCATTCTTTGTCCTTAACCGGTTTCTCTGGTTTACAATATTTTCCTGCTAGTTTCTTCGTTGCATCATAAACGTGTCTGATATTTCCTTCTGTTGAAGCTTATTCTGGTGTAGTATTTAGCTCTTCTATGTATTTCCCCTTGTCAATTCTGACGCTCTTCTTCACTTGCTTGTTTGCTTCTGTGTATTCAGCTTGTGTTTTGACTTTGTCTGTTCTCGTTTGACTGTTGTTAGTTGCTGTCATATCTTTTCTTTCATAAATCTTGTCCAAGGCTTCGATGGGGACCCATTCCTTATGATGATGCTTCTTGTGACCCAGAACCTCCCGAGACGTTGAAGTTAATGCTTTTTTGATTCCTTTGCAGTTGTCCTCCATAGTAGTTTCTCCTTTCAAAGAACTCTGCAAGGCTTGGAACCTGTTGATAAAATGTATATTGAATTCGTTCGTTCTGACGGAGACACACGGGTAATACTTACTTATCGCGGACTTCGTTTCCTACATATCTTATATATGAACCCAGTAATTCACATTGGCGCGTCTTTATCTTTGGATTATACGAATTGAAATGCAGATATTCCATTGATCGTTACTCTATTACATTATAAATGAACACCTTATATTTGAAATACATTATATACTCATAGTCTGTGATCCTAGTATTAAGTCGGTTAATACTTAATAATAACTATACACTCAGATATTCTGTTTAATTAACCGAGCTCTATACTCACTGAGTTTCAAATTATGGCAAATAACTCCAGCAAACTAGAAGTTTCACCAACTTCTTAGCCAACTAAAAGGTCAAAATCTGTAACCCGTATGACTGATGATTCTGTAATTGACAATGTTGAGCCTTCGTCTTTTGAACCTTATGGCTCTTATGCATAAATATCACTATCACTGCCTAATTCTCCGTGCAATAACCCCTCTATCTCTTCATGTAGTATGCCAACGGTAAGACTGGTTGATATGAAAGGCACAATACTCATGTGCATCGAAAAGTTGTCGCAGTCTAACAGGCAGCAGGTTTTAGTAAGGCCTACATCTAAATTTTCAAAAACCAAAGAGTCTAACGGTTCATCTCACATATAGGGAAATACTGATCGATATAGTACGATATCCGTCAGTTACAAAACAATCTTGTCAAAATTAACGGTTGATTTAACCAATAAGCACCCCTTACACACATATAGAGCCTTAATACCGAACAAGTCTTAAACAACTCACAAATACGGAGTGTATTTTAGTGTTTGTGGTTGAAGAAATGACAACAGTGTGATGTACTTCTACAATGCAGTTTGCATACAATCTCTCTGAACTCACACTGAAATAATTTGAGGGATATTTGCTTTAGAGCATGAGGTATAGTGAACGTCAACCGACAAGTCATCATCCATAGAAACAAGTCAGATAAATCAACATGCACACTCCTGTTTAAGTTTGGCAGTTGTAACGAGGCTAAACAATTTATTGATTCGAGCATATTATTGGCTTGTAATGGGATTGAGTCCTAACCACATAATCCTCAAAGCTGAGCATCAGACAGCTGAGAAAATAGGTATTCAACATTTAACGCGGAGAAAAACCCGGCGACAGAGAAAGCGGGAAGAATGAATTCAGTTAATTCGAAGTGATCGGATGGCACGGCTCGGCCTTGCAGGTGTGGTCTTACTTATCCGAAGTTTGTTCTGCATCATATATTGGTGATTGTTACGATGTGATGAGTTGTTATAGACGATGATGTGGCTTTCGCATGAGATCTTATAGATTAGGCAGTTATATCATGACAAATCTACAATTTTGGGATTAGGTCTATTATTAGAGCAGTACTAATATTGAAGTAGATCATAATTCTACATTGGTAAGCCCGACTGAAAAAACGCAACCTGTTACTATTTATTCTTATTTCCGCTTTAATCTTCTCGATCTATTTTGCTGATGTAAACCCATTATTTTATTAGTCCTCTAAATAATGATCACATGTATTATCGTAATGCTATATTGGTTAATACTCATAACTGGTCACCAATATTAATTAGCTTTGATGGTTCATCAACAAGCTTTAATAACATTTACATGCTTCAGCGATATAAAATGTTTAAACATCTACCTCTAGCAGATATGACCTGTAAATAACTGAAATATACATCGACTAGCAACGTAAGCAAGGACTAAATAGTTATCTGGATCTAATTCTTCATATTGTTTTTTTTCACTTAAAGCCTCATTGCTTTTTAAACTATCCACTATCTTATAACATCTTTTCTTCCGATCACTGCCTACCTAATTTCCGGTTTTCGAGTTCCATTGCCAAACAATGAATACAGTACTCCAAGAACTTACAGTGAGTCTAATCTATAAATTTTCTGTAATCATAAGGTCGTTTGAGATGGTTTGTGGTGACCTACTTTTATCAAGAGAATGCAATTGGTGTAATGGAATCTAATTATCATTATAACCAATTGTACCATGGATTGTTTTACCGTACTTGTTTGTTTAACTGCACCAAAATACATACATTATTTCGTTGATTGTGACCTTGCACGAATTTGGTTCCGCTAAGTAACCACACTGGTAATCTGGCACGATCTCGGTATTCTTTCGATACCACGAGATCGCCAACAAATACATCTCGACTGCAGCCATCAACTGCCTTCTGTTATTTGGTCTACGGGGGATCTTATCAGTTAACTGGTACGTAGATTTCCTGTAGTGGTGACCATAGTCAACCGCGACTGGACGCCACACTACAAGTTCATACAACGGCAGCCACATATTTATGTGGACCCATTCAATTGTTCTGATTCGAGCAAGTCCAACAGAATCAAGCACCTTGGAATTAGTTTCTATACTGCGCGTTTAATCTAAATGCATTCGGATCATTGCTGCTCTTCACAAATGGCCTTATATATGTCAAATCTATTAAATAATCTAATTATGTCGAAAATAATCCAGGCGAGTTTTATCTTTATTACCTTTCCCGGTTAGTTTACTGTGTTTTTAGCACTTCTTAATTTACAATAATTCTTTCCGTTAGACTGGTTGTATGTATTTCACACGAGCTACTCTCAAGACGTTTTGATAGAAAAATTTAATACTTTTATTCTTCCACATACTATGAATACAGAAAATAAAGCCCTAGTTAGTAAAAGACATTTGTGGATGGGTTCAACAGGTCCGAAAACCAACCAGGGGGAATAATACACTTGATTTAATGTTCACAATCAACATAGACTCTATCTCAGTACATACCAGTCATGAGTTTTTTATGAGTGACCATAGAGTTGTATTGAGTATTATTCACTCTTTAAACGCCATACAATTGAACTCTAAAGCTTCATTGATGTACCAAAGCAGACATTTTGATCAACAAACATGGAAACGGACTGGAACTCTCATTCAATGTTTACCATGGGAAACTTATTTTACCACAAATAATGTTGACATTGCGCTTTCCAATCTATACCACAACCTGATATATTGTCTTGACTGCACTGCTCCAGTTATTGGCCGTGTGGCTTATAATGCTAATAGGGGCCAAAATACTTTTAAAAGAAAGCTGAGGAAATTAAAATGCCGCTACTACGAGCAGAATGATGTGTATGCACTTCAGAGTATACTTAAATTAATCAACAGAAATGCTTCATCTAAACGTAAGTATTTTATGAATATAGAAAATAAAGCTCTACGTAGTAAAAGCCCAGAATTATCAATACTTCGGCTTTTTAAATCCCGTGTAAAGTCAAATTCCCTTGGCACGACTAAATTCTTCATAGTTAACGGAAGCATTGTTAACGACCCGAATACTATATGCGAACAATTCAGCAAGCACTTCTCGCAGTGCTACAAAACTGGAACTGAAAACTCCATCATTACATTTCCAATGCTGACATCCAGACATCTGTCGAAAATTGATTTTACACCCTCCAACATCAAGCAGGCCATAGCTGCCCTGAAAAAGTCTTATGATGGTGGACCTGACGGGATACCTTCATCATTTGTGAAATATGGAAGTAGAGAATTTCCACTATTTTGTTTGAAACTTTTCAATCTATCTATGGAATATGGGACCTATCCATCTGTATGGAAAACATCCCTTATCACCCCTAGATTCAAAACAGGACCACGTAGTGATATTATTAACTATAGGCCAATTAATTTGACATCCGTGCTCTCAAGAACCATGGAAAAAATCATCCACAAACAGCTACTATCATTTTTACTTTCGGCTAGTCTGATCAGCCCATCCCAACACGGGTTTATGACTAAACGCTCATGTTTCACATCGCACCTGGAGTTTTTTGATCAAATTACCCAGAAAGAGATGTTGGTCAGTCAGTGATAATTCTTTACTTCGATTTTAGTAAGGCTTTCGACAGTGTCTCACACAAACTTCTTCTTTTAAAACTCTCTTCATTTGGCATACAGAATCCCCTTTTATCTTGGCTCAAATCTTTTTTAGAAGAACGTAGCCAAATCGTTCGCTTTGGATCTTGCTACTCTAAACCTGTGAATGTAACCAGTGGGGTTATACAAGGAAGTGTGGTTGGTCCATTACTCTTTCTCCTTTTTATCAATGATGTGTGTTCCCTCTTTCAGTATGGTAAGCCTTTTCTTTTTGCTGATGACCTGAAAGTAGTTTATTCGTTCTCTTCTCCCATGAAAGAAAGCTATATTTCAGCGGTAATCCAAGAGGAAATAAACAAGTTGTACGAATGGACTATTTCGTGGAATATGCCACTTAATGTTGACAAAAGTGGATTTATTCACATTGGTCGCTGTCTTAACTTAAATCTGACTGTACAGACACATACACTCAAACCTCTTAACACTGTTCGTGACCTGGGTTTAAGATATAGCAACAGTCTGAACTTTTCTGAACACATTATATCTCAAGTATCCAAAGCTAGAAAGCTCATCGGATTGATAATGATAAACTTCAATAATATCGAATCGAGATTGTTACTATACAGAAAATGTATCTTACCCATTCTTGAATATGGTATTTTAGTTTACAGTAATTGTAGACATACTGACCTGATTAGAATTGAAGGTGTTCAAAGAAAGTTCACCAAAGCTGTTCTGGGTATTCCGATAACAAAGACTATTACCAAAGATGTCAACAACTCAACTTAGAGCCTCTTTGGATCAGACGTATCAAATTAAATCTTGTCTTTATCTACCGGCTTATTAACGGTATTTCCTACTCTTCGGTATCCACCCCTTCATACCTTATGATATCATCCCACAATCTACGCAATAAGGAGAATATTCTAGCGATTCCAAGAACCCACACAAACTTACGTCAGAATTTTTTCCTTATTCGCTACTCAACCATGTGGAACAGACTGCCAGTGAACCTCCGTTGCAGTGAAACTACAACCCGGTTCAAAAGTCTCCTTGACGATTTTCTTTCCGAAAGTGGATTATGTCACCTATTGAATATCAATGTATTCAATAATGATTTATACAAACAAGGTCCGTCATCCATTTAATTGCTTGAAAAGCAAAATAAAACCTTTAAATCTTTCCACATCTATTTTATTTTATTTCTATTTATCTTAATATATGAAATCTGAT